ATCACAGGAGTTCTAGCAACAGTGCTATGCTAGAACTCCTGTGTTGGAGGTGACAGGGTCAATAAAGAGTACCTGTCACCTCCAAATGTTATTACACAGGGGATTATTATTCCCTGTGTGATAGCAATACAATAAAAAGTTTTTTTTTTAAATAGTTAAAAAGAAAAAGTAAAAAATAATTAAAAATGCAACTAAATAAAAATGTTAAAAAAAAGGCGATTAAGTAAAAATAAAACAAATGAACATTTTTTACAAAGTAAATAAAAACAGAAAAAAATAAAACCAGCCCCACGCGAATAAACGCACAGTTTATAAAACCAGTAGCAACTGAATGCAGAGGCAACTATTTATGATAATAAAGAGTAGATGCATAGTCCTATACAACCGGCCCTTTGAGGGTAACCATACTGCTGATGCGGCCCCCGATGAATTTGAGTTTGCCACCCCTGGTCTAAATAGTCTGCATCAAATTGCTGGACAGAATCTGTGCCGGCTGTTCCTTCAACAGGAGATCATCCAGGTATCCCAAAATGGAAATGCCTTGGGAGTCTAGAAAGGCTAACACTGAAGCTAGTACCTTGGTAAACAAAGGCACACCGAATAGGAGGGCTACAAACTGGTAGTGTTGTGTGGCCACAGCAAAGGTCCTGTTGGTGCGCTGGAAAGGTACACGTATCCTTGATCAAAAGGTCCGAGTAAAAACCTATGTCTGGAACAAGGACTCATCGATCCAAGAGATCTGCTAGTCTATGCTATGAGGACACTCAGGCAGTTTGGACGATGAGAACGAAAATCTTGTAGCCCCTTGCACACCACGTCTTTTACCTAAGCATCGGAGATGCTTGATAACCAGGTGTTACAAAGTCCAACGGATGTCCTCTGACTTTTGAAAACTGGGGGCATCCCCTAATGCTGAAGAGGACTTGTCTGCAGGCTTAGAAGATTTGGGAGTGCAAGGTTTACGGTTGGAATTGTGTTCCTGCTTTAGGTCTGGGAGGCCTGGCAGAAAGGAAAGGGATTCTTCCTGGTTTCTGCAGCAGGGTTTTTTTCCCCAGTATTAGGTTTAGTTTTCTTCTGTAAGTTAGGTTATTTAAAAAAAACACACAACCACACACCTTTCTCCTACTGACATCCTTGACAAAGTTGTCTAAAGAAACAGGGGGAAAAAAGGAGAAGCTTTTTTTCCTTCAAAAGGCATGTGCAGCAAGTGTTTTTCTGCATTCTTCAGCAGACTAACATTTGAGCAAAATAGTTCTTTGCATATTCACAGGTAAAAAACGTAATATTTACTAAGGCTTCTGCACAGCAGTACCACGCAGCAGGCATAAGCACATGCTTCTTAACAAAATGACCAGTAAGTATAGCAGCGGGACCTTGCACCATTTCCCTGAGTTATAACAAACCAACATGACAACTATGGCAGGACTCACAAGTGAAAAAGATGTAGAAAGGGCTTCCAAACATTTAAGGACCTGATCCTTAAAACTGGGGCATTCTGAATAGGAACAGTCAGTGTTTTGTTAAGGCTTGACATGTGATCTAAACTGGGGAGAGTCAACTTTTCATAAACACCTCCTCAGATAATGAATAATGTTTAGGAGGAAAAAATGTATCATGAGCAGACAAGAGTAGGTTCAAGTAAGAAGTGTACTGCAAAGGTTTTGATAGTCTTAGGGCCTTTAAGGAAACCCTACAGAGCAATGGAAGTAATTTAATTCACAGGTTGTTCAAGCTTCAAAACATGTTTACACCGCATCAATAAGATCTGAAATAGTATCTTTAGCCTAGTAGCCACATCAGCAATTGTGGATCCCCAAGAGCAAACTAATCCAGAACAGAATTAAGAGACTCCTCATCCCACAGGCCATCCGCAGCAGAAGGCTGAAGACTGCTAAACCTGCAGGAACATCAGACAAATAATCTGAAAAGAAGTTTGATGCAGATGGCTGGGAGCAATAAAGATGACCATAATATGCTAGATTAATATACCCAACACTTCTTACTCTTGTGGCTCATGTTGACAGGCATAGATTTCCTATTTTTAACATGCATTTGGAACACATTTAAAATGCAGGTCAGCAAAATCCCAAATACTTTAGTTGAGCAGTCCGCCTCCCCGTGCCAAGAAACGCTTATCTAAAGTGTGAGTCTCCCTATTAATTGTTATGGTACTTGAAGCCACATGAGGCCAACGATATGCTTTCTGCTTGACTCTACTTCGCGCCGACTGCGCTCCTTA